GCCATGCACTCGTAGTGGCCGCCGTCCTCGGCCTGCGCGGGGGCCAGGCGCAGGGAGCCGGAGGGCAGGAGGCGGTGCCTGCCGAGCGAGGGGTGCGGTGAGATGCCCCCGTCCTCCCGCACCCTGACAAAGTCCCCGGGCCCCAGGGGCCCCGGCACGCACGCGCCCTCACCTCACCTGTGCGGGCTGCAAGGAGCTGGGGGGGCGCTGGGCCCAAGACAGAGGGGACCCCAGAGCCTCCCCCCAGCCCAAGTCTGCGCCTCTCCAGGTGTCATGGAGCCCCCGTGGTGGCCAGACAGCCCCCACTGTCGGTGGGCCAATGCCAGCCTGTGCCTCAGTCTCCCCTGCGGAGGCAGTGGGTGCGGACGCCAGGTGGGCCTCACGGCCAGGCCCGCCCTGCACTGCCACCAGCCGCTGCGAGAAGGTGGGCACGTCCCTCAGCCTCCAGAGCCCCGCCCCAGCCCAGCGCACTCAAGGCCACGGACAGCGCAGCCAACCGCTTCACACAAGCCGGGCGCGGTAGCTCCCGCCTGTCATCCTAGCTACTCAGGAGGCTGAGATCTGAGGATCACGGTTCAAAGCCAGCCCGGGCAGGAAAGTCCGAGAGACTCCTATCTCCAATAAACCACTAGAAGACCGGAAGTGGCGCTGTGGCTCAAGCGGTAAGAGTGCTCGCCTTGAGCTGAAGAGCTGAGGGGCAGAGCTCAGGCCCAGAGTTCAAGCACCACGGCCGACCAGAAAAAGAAAAGAAAAAAAGAAGACATCATACAGACATGTGTGGGTCTAATTCATTCCTTTTCACTGCTGCGTAATATTTCACACCACAAGGTAAGGGGCTGCTACTTCTGGGATCCATGTTTACACGTTCTCTTCCTCCTCCCACCTCCCTCCTCCCTCCTCCCTCCCAGCATCTCTCCATGGGAGCCCTGGAGACCTGGCTTACACGCTGTGAGGTTCCTAGTTGTACTGAGCTTTGAACTCAGAGCCTTGCGCTGGCTAGGCTTCCTGTCCCTCTTCTAACCAGGCCCCAGGTGGCACCTTGGGGAGGGCCTTGCTCTGTCACTTGGAGGAAATAAAGGGGGTGCTTTTGGCACAGTGGTCCCCACATTATGGTACAAAGCCAGGCCCCATGTTAAGGTCAACCCCCCTCCGGGCCTCTGCCGGGCATCATGGCTCACACCTGCAATCCAGGCTGGGGCTGAAGGATCACAGTTTTAGAACCAGCCCAGGAAGACTCTGATCTCCAATGAACCACCAGAGAAGCTGGACTTGGAGCTATGGCTCAAGTGGTAGAGCACCAGCCTTGAGTGAAACACTAAGAGACAGTGCCCAGGCCCTGAGTTCAAGCTCCAGGACTGGCACACACACATGCACACACACACACACTAGCATGCAGTAGGTGCTCAATTAATATTGGATGGCCAATTACAGTTCACATCCACACCTTTCCCCTCCAGCATGGCTTCCGGGTGGACCTCCTGATCCCCTCAGGGCAGCAGAGGTGCCAGCCCTTTCGGGAAGCTTTCCTCACACTTCCTGAACCTGGTCCAGCCCATTGTTCATGCATTCATTTGTTGTTAGACCATGAAGAAGGAGGTCCAGGTGGACCAGGGCTGTGGTGAGGAGGACCTGTGCCTGACCGAGCCTGGCCAAGGCTTCCTTCAACGCAGGGCCACTGGGAGCCTCACAGCTCGCTGTGGCCTCCTAGGACCCTGGACCCTCATAGGGAGGAGGAGGAGGGGGAGGAGGAGGAG